GGATTCAAGTAAATACCTGTAATTTGGCATCTCAGTCAAAAAAATAAAAATATGCTTATTTGTAAAATAATAAATATTAAAATTCATGGCTCCAGTTTGTTCAGTTCAGTTTTGTTTATATAAACTAAATCACAGCAAACAGTCCCCTGAAGATGCTTTACATTGACGTAATACAGAGAAAAAGTACAGGATAACAACAGTAATTATATTTTACCATTAAAAATAGTTTTGATAAACCATACTTGATAAATTTGTTAAGTACTGTACATTTGACGAAGAGAACTTACATTATAGGTTCATGTTTTTATAAACTTGGCTATTTTAGTTTTGCTAAATGTATTTATTTTTATTTACCCTGGCTAATTTCGTATTTTTCTGATGCTAGGTGTCTTGGTCTTTTAAATCTTAATCCTTGCTCGTAATCATGTTACGTTAAAGGATGAGCCAGGGTTGCTTTTATTAGGGATGCTCCTGATGACTAATATCTAGTCATTTAAATTAGACGGGGGGGAAAACATGATCGTCGACTAACGTGTTCAGAAAACATTTAAAACTGAATACACTTTAAATGCACAAGTGAAAGATTGGCCAAATTGTTGTTTAGTGTGTGGTTAATGGTAGTTACTGAGACTACATTAAAATTATTCCCCAAAAATCAGTTTGTAGTCTAACTATGTAAGACAAAATGGTGCCTTTCTTGACTTGTATGTTTAGACTAAACTGCCCCAGAAAAGCACAGAATTGGAGAACTACCAAGAATAATGGGTTAATGAGAAGCTACTGTATGAACAAAAAAAACGAGTTGCTAACGTCTGCCGGGCAGTTGTTATATCTTTGTGTCATGAAAAAGAATTCTCTGCTAACATTTCGTTTTTTCACCTTCACAGGAGGTGTTGCTGTTCCCAGCCATGAAGCCTGATGACAATAAGACAGCAGCGCCATCAGAGGGCACCTCTGTCTAATAACATGACCTCGGACCTCTCCTGCTATCACACCTTTGCAGGAGTCGGCATGAAGAAGAAGAATGAGCCTTTACCTCATTGTTGTCGTCAGTGGAGTTTCTGGGTCTTGTGTTTTATCAATGTTAGTTTGTCAAATGATTGATAACTTCTGTCAGTAAGGAAAATCATCAGGTCTCAAATACACGTTTTGGATTTTCTGGGTTTTTTTGTTTGTTTTTTATTCCATACACTTTCGCAATCCTGTCTGATCAAAATATACTTTGAGCTATTTAAAGGGATGCTTTAGGGTACAGCATATAATAACAATGTTCAAGACCCTCTAATACTCAAGTCTTTTTACCAGGTCTACTTAAAATCCTTGTCTAAGTTTTTCAAGTTGGACTCCACAATAATCCTTTGCCAAGAGGTTTGAATAAAGTTCATATAAAGTAAACTGATTTCTTAAGTCTTGTGTATGTGTTTTTTTCCTATGTTTGGTTTTTCACTATAGCATAATTTGGCAAGTGAAAATGGATGGTAGGATTTAATTATAAGGGATTATTTTCAGTATTCATAAAATTTGACCTAGTAACTCAATGAACAGAGTCTGAAAATTGAAACGCAAATAATCTCTTTTTCATAAAGAATGTACTCATTAACCCAACACAGTAAGTGACACCAATGGAATCACAAATATTAGTCCATACAAAGCACTGTAGCAAACAATGAAAAGTTCAAATCCACTAATGAGCCTAACTGCATCTACTGGTGTGGTTATTCCCAAAAGTGTCTGTCATTGTGTTTGTGTAAACCACTTAGCTTTTGCTCTTTAAAAGAATCTCCAAACGTTGATTCTGTTCATCTGGACGTAGCATTTTCAGTGGGAGAAACGTTTCCTCACTCATCCAAGTGACTTCTTCAGTCTCAGCTGACTGCAAGTTTCCCCAAATTTATAAACAGTACATTTGTATAATAACTGAAACCAGCTCACTGAAGGAACAATGGGCTGGGAGGTCACCTTCATGATAATTATGCAAATTCTCATGACCATTGATCAACAACCACTGACCAAAACCCACTGATCAAAGACCACTGATCAATGGCCATGAGTCCCATTCACAGAGAGTTGGGGAATGGCTGCAATCACAGCATTGTAAGATGGTGAAAGATGTACCCTTAGGCCCCCTCCTCGATTCAGAGATGGTCTTTCCCTTTTCACGTAAATGGCCTCCTTGACTCCGCACTCAAACCAGCGTTCTTCCCTGTCCAGGATGTGTACATCCTCATCATTGAAAGAGTGTCCACTGGCCAGTAGGTGTAAATAGACTGCAGAGTCCCGGCCTGACGAGGTGGCTCTTCTGTGTTGTGCCATCTGCTTCGCCAGAGGTTGTTTGGTTTCTCTGATGTATAAATGTTGGCACTTAACAGCGTACACTATGTTACTCTGTTTGTGTCGGGACACCCGATCCTTGGGGTGGACCAATTTTTGACGCAGCGTGTTTTGGGGTTTAAAAGCCACAGAGGCCCAGTGTTTAGAAAAAATGCATCTCAACTGAGTGGTCTTTGATCAGTGGGCCTTGATCAATGGTTATGAGAATTTGCATAATTATGATGAAGGTGACCTCCCAGCCCACTGTTCCTTCAGTGAGCTAGTTTCAGTCATTATGCAAATGTACGTTTATGTTGACCTGCAGTCAGCTGAGACTGAAGAAGTCACTTGGATGAGTGAGGAAACGTTTCTCCCACTGAAAACACTACATCCAGATGAACAGAATCAACTTTTGGAGATTTACTTACCTGGATGATTGAGAATGCATCAAGACTCTTTAAAAGAACATTTTAAATATTTGTTTACATGCAAGAAAAGTTAGGAAATTTAAAATAAACTGTTTTGGAGGAAGGTTGGATATTGTTTCTCAATCACTTTGTCTCCCTTTTGGAGCATCAAGTGTATATACCCTACTATCTTGTTTTCAGAGTATTTTGTGTTGTTGCTCTTGGCTTTAAAAAAAGTCCCTTTTCATGGTAGATTCAATCACCGGAGCTCTGTGTATGATCAATTTCATTTTAAGTGTCACCAAGCATTGGCTGGAGAGGGTAAAAACTCTTCTAGCTTGTGCCTTTTGAAAGTTTAAGATTAAGTTTACCTTCAAGGGCAAAAACAAGGCCCTGCTCTGTTTTTCTCACAAACAGCTCTGAGTCAAGAACCAATGACTTTTAATCTCTGTCACCCAGACTGTGGTCAAGAGCCGGAGGTTTCTGCAGTTGGGAGCTGTCAGTATTGAAGAAGAAAGCATTTTTTCCACTCCCATAATGTCCTGCTTAAACAAACTAGGCCTGCTCATACATTTAAGGTACGCCTTGATGTCCCCAACAACACTTCTGATCCAGAAGTGTTATTTATTTTATTTATGCTTTTAAAGTCAAAGTGCTCACATGCAAATAGAGAATCAGCAGTTGTTTCTGGACCAGTTGAGCTCTGGTGTAGGTTGAGCCTCAGCATCAGCTTGACAACCAGATCACTAATCTTTTCCCTACAAGCCAGTGCAGTGATGCCAGAGTTATGTTCATACATCAGACACTGAGACACCACAGCCTTCACAGCTGCACAGTCCCAGCAGCAGTTTTTCATTTTTTTTATTGAGTAATTCTGTTTATACCACTGCTTTATATACTACCAAAGAAACTACAAAATCATTTTATTATTCTCTGTAGTCATGTTAAAAAAACAAAACAACAAAAAAACAAAACCTTTCTCCATAAAATGTACAAAGCAGTTGCAGGAGCAAACCTGTGTATAGTTTAAATGTAAACAGCTCATCATAAATTCATGCTGCACTCACAGGAAACAGAATCCACATAAGTGGACTGTTTCACTGAGATGTGCACAGCTGACGAGTATCAACGTTTATATGGAAAATTAGTTTTTTTTCATCAGGCAAAAGGTACTTTTGTTTGATTAGAAACATAGATTTTTGCCCATTGGATGAGCACATTAATAGGAACAGTATAGTATAACTTATTACATTTATTTAAGTACTTTACTAAAGTACAGGTTAAATGTACCTGCACTTTATTTAGTATAAGTACATTTGCTTCTTCTCTAACATACTTTGTATGTAAATAGAGTACTTTGCGCACCATACTATTTATTTTACAGAATAAGTTACTTATTACTTTGCAGACAAACTGCAATTGCACAGATCAATCTACCCAGCAATACACGAGTAATTTAAACCGTCAGCAGCTGCAATGATCCAATAACGCATGAATCTGTTAAAAGTGTATTACTGGATTACTTGTTTTACAAAGTGGCAAGAAATATTTAAAATAAATGAAGAAATGCTTTATACTCAAGCAAAAATGTTATAATCATACTTCGGCTGCTAAATAGTGCATATGATTTACAATCAAAATATATTTACACTGTTGTGAAGCACAACTTTTTTATGTAATAAATTTGTAAGACATAAGGAGCCTGATATTTTCTAGCATGTGATCACAATTCCCAGATAGCACTCATTGTTGTAGTTAGTTAATTTCAATAACAGGTGTTTAAAGTAATTTATAAATAAAATTTTAGTCAATATAAAAAGAAAACGTGTTTTTTTCACGGACTTGTTTCACGGACATTCTCCTCTTTTTTTTTTCTTTTTTTTTTTTTTTTTTGCCATTGCAAAAGAAATTCTCAGAAATTAAAGTCTTGGGGTCACCACCACCTCATATAAAATAAATCCTGGAAACGCCCCTGTTAAATAGGCTGCTATCCGACAGGTAAATTTTACGCAGGCACTTGAATATGTCAGTTTTATTTCAAACTAGAAAATTGCAGTTATTGATATTACTGTTATCGCGATTATTGTTTTAATATTATCGTTTTATACATTTTTTTCAATAGAAAGACAGAGCAAACGTAACAGCCATGTGCCGCCTTATCTACTGTACCTAAGTAGAACATGTAAGCATTTTCTTCTGACCCCATTAACTTTGAATAATTAGCATTTCTTTTTTTAAGTGTGCATTCACTCACTTTTGAGAGCTTTTTGGCCCCGGGTCTCTCACCTCCCACACCGTGTAGTGGGATGGTGCGCGCTCTCGCGGTCAAGTGATTCACTTTCGATCAAACTGTGGCTTCACACTGAGTGAAGATGGCGATGAGAGCAGCTCTGCGGTGCCTGTCTGCAAACTTTTCGCCCAGACTGCCTCAGCTCTCGCAGGTTTCAGCGACTCGGCTGCAGTGGAGAAGCGGCTCCCCGCGGACGCTGAGCACGTCCTCGGTCCTGTCTGCAGGTAAATATAATACATTTTTAAAAAAAAAATAATAATAACCCAGACTTGCCAAATGAGCTGTAATGGTACTACATGCGGGTTGCTCACACATTCCTGCCTGACTGTAATGGGTGGGAATAAAAGGGGTCACACAGTTTGTGTCACTTTCCCACAGGGCGGCAGAGAAAAGCGCGAGGAAAGGCAACTAAAACGTTGTTTTAACTTTAAAGAAGCTTCACAGACCGAAGCTTACGTGCAGATAATTAGCCACCACATGTTACGCTGGCTAAAGGGTTCAGACGGCTGTATATATATTCTCTGTGAGAGGAGCACGAGCTCTAAATTGTGATGGTGACCAATTACCCGAGTCTCGTGCAGCCAGAAGCAGCTTGTTAAACAAAAGTCAGTGCTGGTACTGGGCATGAGCTACAAATAGCAGGGGAGGGATGACTATCATGTAGCTTTCATTAATTCTAAATCACAGACACCACCCTATCAGATATCCATACTTAAAAAAAATATTCCTGAAGCAAATGAGTTACCAGAAAGCGTTTCTTGAGCCTTTTGCCTTGGCAGTTACTGTACTCCTTAGCAATCATCTTGCATAGTTCAGTCTGGTTTGAACTTGTATTCTTCAGTGTTGGTCAGGTGCCAACCCTGGAAGCTGTTGAGCCATTACAGTTCTCTCCTGCAGGGTAAACGCGACATGAGGAGCATTGAATCAAAATGGTTCAGTGTTTCTTTTCAAAACTGCAGCTCTGTCAGCTGTGGTTAGTGTTAAAGCAGTGATGGTGAAAATTGAAGATTTACCAAGCCAAAAAACGGGGATGTGACGTCCGCACAAATGCCTCAAAGTTAGCTCTTGTAGACAGCACACAACTGGTGGGCTTCCCATTGATGTAACAGCTTGTCAAGAAATTGACGTATGCGAATCAAAAGCGTCATCACTGTTCCACTGGTTCATACTGTTATAATTTCATCTTTAAACATAATCATTTGATCTGTTCCAGACTAATTCTCCTTTTGTTTTTCTCTCTGTAGCATTAAAGTTCACAGATAAGCACGAGTGGGTGCAAGTGGAGGGTGGTGTTGGCATTGTTGGTATCAGCAATTATGCTCAGGTAGGTTTGTCTTTCTACTAATTTATGGCTCACGTGGTTCAGAGGTTTAATTATTACTATCTAAAAATAGCAATAAACTAGTCTGTAGAAAAATCTGCAGTGTGCACTTTAGAGCTGGTCTTTGCCCTCAACTGATGTGCTTTAACAGGCTAATTTAGTGCTTTTATGGCCGATGTTTGACACAATTGATCACTAGCATTGTGCAGGACTGGGCAGACACTTGGAGACATTCAAGGACTTGAATGTATACTGGAATATCTTTAAACATGAATCTAGCTTTTTAAAGAATCGTTATTACTGCTACCCCTTTTACACCTGACATACAGTGCTGTGAAAAAGTATCTGACCCCTTCACCTCTCTTTATTGTTGCATAGTTGCAACACGTCTGAAACTATCTAACAATCTGCGTAAATATTAAATGCAGTTTGATTTATTAAGGGACAAAATACAACCCAAACCTACCTGTGGAAATAAAAGTAATTGTCCCATAAGTCTTATAGCTGGTTTTTCCACCCTTGGAAGCAACACCTGCAATCAGTTTGCAATAACTGACACGAGGCTTTCACATCACTGTGAAGGAATTTTGGACAACTATTCTTTTCAGAATTGTTTTAAATCAGCCACATTGGAGGGCTTTGAACCATGGGCCTAGACTTGGAGGTCCTGATTCTCATTCCAGCCACATCACACTAATTTGCAGACCAACCCCAGTGAAAGCTGAAAGTTCTCGCTCGATGACTCTTAACAGAACCACATCATCTGCAAAAAGCAGAGATGAAATCCTGAGGCCACTGAACCTGACGCCGTCCAGGAGTTGGAGCCTTATTTCAGGAGTCATAGGATGCGAGGCAGGGTCCTGAGCAGATTACCAGCCAATCACAGGGCTAATACAAACTCACTTCCACACCTGTGGTCACTAGTTAACCTAACAAGCTTCTGTGAAGCACGTGGAGGAAAGCCAGGCACAGGTAGAACACACACAAAGGCCCGGCTGATTGGGAGGTTCAAAGTAGGAGGTACTGCAGCAGAATGCCGTCTTTCTGAAATGTCATCAAATTCAAAATCTTTTCATTTTACCCATCCTTGCTTTTTCACTATTTCAATATAGCCTTAGGATGAGGCTTACAAAAGACTAATGAATCCATGAAACATCCATGTCTTTAAACTAAGAAACAACCCTGAAAATGTTTTTTGAATTCTTTCAGGGTTATTTTGTATTAATAAGCTGGAGGTAATTTAGTATAACATCGACAAGGTTGAGTTTCACATTTATGCTGTGAAAGCATTGTTAAAGCTAACTGTGGCAGGCAGCAGGTAATAAAGGTATGACAAAGCTAAAGCCAGATTTACAGTATATTGTTCTGTTGCAGTACCCTCAACAGACTGCCAGCATTTTAAACCTATCTGGTGAAATCTTACTGTTTTGGCAACAAATTTCATGAACTGTCTAAAAGTAATTCCCAGAAATTGATTCCGTTCATCTGGACTTTGTGTTTTGTGTTTATCCTTCACTGAAAAGAGAAGAATTTGTGAGATTTCCTTACCTGGATGAAGCATGCATTAGAACAATTTAAAATAAAATGATCCATCCGTCCTCTTCTGCTTATCTGGGGCTAGGTTAAGGTGGCAGCAGCCTAAGCAGAGATGCCCAGACCTCCCACTCCCCAGCCACCAGCCACAGAGGCGTTCCCAGGCCAGGTGAGAGATGTAATCTCACCACACTGGGCCTGCTGTGGGGCCTTCTCTCGGTGGGACATGCCTGGAACACCTCAACCAGGAGGCATTCTAATCAGATCCCAGAATCACCTCAACTGGCTCCTTTCAGTGTGGAGGAGCAGCAAGTCCACTCTGAGTCCCTTTCCTCCTGTAGATCCACCACCCCCAGGAGGTGCCGTAGGGGTCAGGCACAGGGTGGGCAGGGGTGGAGGCCCAGGCTCTGATTCTTGGCTACGTAAACTGGCTATTGGGACAATAAAATGATCCAGAACAGTAAAAACCAGACTGACAGTTTTCAGTACTGTGATCATTGAACACAGGGACTCTTTACTTTGAGCCATCCTGCTGTTGCTGACTGCTTATTAAAGCAATAAACTGATTCTAGTATTAGACCCCCCCCTAAATAAGCGTTGTATTCCTACAGTGCTGTTAGATATTGAAGTACTGTATGAAGTTCTCTAAATCTTAAATAAAAAAAGATTCTTGGACAACTTCCATGTGGTTATCTATAATACTTTGTGTCATATAGTTTGTTTTGTCATTTTAGGAAGCATTAGGTGATGTGGTATACTGTGGACTCCCTGAAGTCGGCCAAAGACTTGAACAAATGGGTAAGAGCTGTGAATTTTTGACATATTTATCAAGTGATTGATTCTAGTATTGAAATAAGAAGTGTTTTTCCTCTGTGTGTGTATATGTGTGTGTTGCAGATGAGTTTGGTGCACTGGAAAGTGTAAAGGCTGCCAGCGAGCTGTACTCACCATTAACAGGAGAGGTGACTGAAATCAACACAGAGCTGGCAGAAAATCCTGGACTTGTGAACAAAGATTGCTATGCAAAGGGTGAGCATTCACCACCCAATGTCGTACTTTGCCAGTACACTTGTCCTTGTGATTTCTCAGAATTGCAGGATAGAGGGCAACCTGCCAAACCAGTATTACAAAGAAGTAAAATTACAGCTCGTTCTTTTCAGCAAGTACAGCTCTTGATCTTGAAATAAACAAACTCTTATCTTTCAGGATGGATAATCAAGATGACCATCGAAAAGCCCGAAGAACTTGATGGCCTCATGGATCAAGCTGCATATGATAAATTTGTCACATCACTTGAATAAAATTATAAACTCATTTTGCTTTGTAATTTAATCACAGTCAAAGATTAGTCCCTGCAAGGTTACTAACATGTAGTGTGTCACACTTATTCATCGGTGGTATTTATTCTAGTACCGGAATTGTGTCCTCAAACTAAAATACGCGACTACAAATGCTCAGTAACAGCTTCCACTTAGAAAGTTCCTTTTTGTTAAGCAACTAGCACATCTAAAGGGCTCTTAATCTCAAGATCTGTCCGTATTATTGGGTCTTGTTTGTGGTGCTTTGCTCCATTACCAATATACAGATGTGTTAAACAACTTGAACGTGCTGTTTCAAATCCATTTAATAAAATGTGGGCATTTTGTTTGGGTTGTTGTATTCAAACTTGGGAAATGAATCATTTCTCGCATTCTTGGCAAGGCAAGTAATCACAGAGGTGTGTATTGTGAACATGTAGGGACCTATTTGCGGGGCAAAAGTGACAACACACCTTTAGCTGTAATATTTTTTTGAAGCTCTTCAGACAGACACATTCAAACCAAATTGCTTCATATGAGCTGCCAGGACGGACTGCAGCTTTTTGTGTGTGTCTATTATAGTTTAAAATACCTTGACCTTTGCCTTCAGGTGATGATAGCCTGAGTTAGTCGAAGCTAGTTAATCAATGATTAATGCCACAGTGGTTTTAAAATCAATGACTGAACAAAAACATGCACATTCAGGTTGATAATGAGAAGACTGTGATTGGTCTAAATAGGTTGTTTTCAGTTTATTCTTGCAGTGTGTTCACCACCAGTGTCTGCTGCTGACTGTAACAACCATTTTTCATATTCCTCCGTTGGATTGAAAAGGCCGGTTTGACCCTCAGTTGGCTTTTAAAACCTGGGAAAAACAGTTGTGATTGAGTAATGAGAGGAATTCAAAGCAGAAGATGGTAATGTTGTTGGGTTATTTTCTTTATTTAATTAGCTTCATAGACATTAGTGTCATTCTGCTGGTTTTCAAATGACTCCAACACCTTTGTAGGACTGCAGGTGGGATAGTCCCTGAACATCTTTGTTTCCTCTTACAGAAACCTGTGCCTAATCTATATTATTTTCATATATTTACACTGCAAAAAAGGAAAAAACAAATAAAAAAAATGGTGCTAAAGGCATAAAAATGATAAATTAATCAAAGATGATGGAGCCTACACATTCTTTATTTCATGACTTTTCCCCCCCATGTAAATAAATCACCTTAACCTTTTATAGGACACTCATTCAAATAAAAGGAAACTCAAAATTTCAACCCAAGGGTGTTCTCAGAACATATTACAGCTGTATATTTGTTATTATATTTATTAACTGACTGGAACTTTTCATAATTATAACATCCACACCAAAGTGCATTCCTGTCGATGCTCAGGCAACAGCTTCATGGGGAAGCTTATGTATGGTGGCATTCTCCAATAAGATGATACTTTCTTTCAATGACTTAAATTCATTCACTGACTTGAGCATATGTATACACCCAAATACAGGGTGTGCTGTTCTCTGACATGGTGATAGGATAGCTTCTGTAAAAGAGCCAAATAGACAGTTGCAAAATTCAATCAGAACTAAATAAACCACACACTGAATTACTACATTGATTTTAGAATTAATAAGACTCACAGTAAACATATATGCAATTTAAGAGCTTTATAGTAAAAAAATGAACACAATCACATATTACACTATTTTTTTATCTTGAAATTACTACAAGTGGTTTAAGCTTCTCACTGAGTGACTGTATAATGTTATACAAAGTCGTGGGAGCTTATATGCTGCTCATTATGACTGTCCTACGCTTATACCTAATAATTTATTTTTTAATTAAAAAAATGTTAACTGGATGCATCTGCTGCAGTTCAGCAGTTCTGTCTGAAAATTGATTTACCAACAGAACTGCTGAGTTCCTGAACTTGTACCTCTTTGTTGGATATGCCATATGCACCATGAGGTGCTGATGCAGTTGCCTTTTTTTGAACAGGCCCAGGTTTTAGCATGTTAATGCCTTATTATGCTACATATTACAATGAGGCTTTAGATAAAGTCAAGTACAAGGTCTGTTCTGAAAATAGCAAGATTACAAGGAAAACAGGCTCTTTAACAGCCTTTAATAGCAGGCTGATTGCTTTAATGAAGTAGAATATACCATAAAAGCATCCGACTGAAGATATTTCAACCAAAAAATAAAAATACTAACTGTATTAGAAAATACACTGATGTGAAAAAGCACTTTACCCCTTCCTAATCTCTTCTTGCTTTCTTTTTTAAATTAAGATTTCAGTTATTTTCTGTCAGAAAAACCTGAAGTAGAATGTCCAGCCATCAGTTCCATAACTCATAATTATGGTATATTCTCCTCATTAGCCTGTTATTAAAACACAGTTGTACTAGTTTAAAGATTAAATCTGTATACATGTGGTTGGACATGAACTAAGGTATAGCCCTGAAAGTTTCGTGGGCACAATACAGTACGTTTTGATTTTTAAAAATATACTTTTTTTTTTTTTTACTGAATTTCTATACTTTGTTATGTTCATATGTTTTGGAAAATTGTTCAATCCTAACATTTTTCACAACTCGGTTCCTGCCATTAGTGATATTTTATGTTATAATTACAAATATAATCGATAGAACAAAGACATTGCTGATCCGTATGTAAGATACTGCAAACAAAAAACAGTTTTTTTGTGCATATTTCACTCAAGTTTCAGATCATTAAATCAAACAAATGTAATATTAGACAAAGATAACCCAAGTGAATACAAAAGGCACCCGTTAAATTATTTCATTTTCAAAGATGAAAAGTGCGATTCTCAAGCTACTAAAGCCTCAAACGACCCATTTCTATCCTTGCACGGTTTGTTAAGTGTCATTTTTCACTATCTGTATAGAAATGAAACTTAATGTTCACCGTGGCCTAGTATTGCTCATCTAAAGACGATATAAATTATTATTCTACACTAGATTACTTGAAGTACCGCTTATGACTGACGTTTCCGTTTCCGTTTTTAAGGGGGTGAATGCTCCTTTACACACTCTTTGATTGGCTGGTTGTTACATATCCCACAATCCACCGCCTTACAACTTCCTTTTTCCTTTCGGCCATTTTCCTCCCTTGTAGGTATGTGAAGTTATCCTCCAAAGATTTTCAAAAATCCGTTTCAATCCTCGATTTTCTGTTTGTATTTGTGAGTTTAGCTTATAGTCTGAAAAAGTGCTTTTTGTCATCTTTTAAATAAGGTGATTATTATCATGATTTTTTGTGTTAAATTGCTGAGTAGCTAATGTTTTTATGGAGATGACCGGTGAAGCGATGGCTGTCAGTAGCTATGTTTAAACACTGTCCTACTAAATAAAGATGAACCTACGTGAATGCCGAAATGGCGATGACAAATGGATTATTACATGTAGTAGTTTGTAAGGACATTATCGGGGCATGAAAGTAGCCGGACCCCTCGTTAATGCTTTAGCTTAGCATCTTAGCACTGTATGAAGCGGAGGTGCGCCGGCATGACGAGCCGCTCATGTGTATGTGCCACGCTGTGTTGCAGGGAAGCAGGCAGCCATGGCCCCCAGCCGGAATGGAATGATCCTGAACCCTCACTTTCACAAAGACTGGCAGAAAAGAGTGCGCACCTGGTTCAACCAGCCAGCCAGGAAGATCCGCAGGTGAGGACATGGACGTATGCTAACTTGAGCTAGCGTGCCCGTAAATGGTTAGCATCGAATTCGGTTCAAATGGTGGGAATTTTTGGCCCGTAAAGGATAACTAGACCATGCTGTGGAACCAGGATTCATCCCATGTGTACATCAATATAATATTTACATTGACAGACGTTTCTTATATTCTGTAGTTACCGTGTATCATGTGAACGTGCGTGTAACTGTCCCTCAGTCCCATGAGACATTATTAAATAAAACAAACTGAGAAAGTGGTTGAAGTAACTGTACCTTGTTTGATTTGAGCCACCACTTCAGCTGATCAAGCTGTTGGTCAAGCAAGACAGTCTTTACGATTTTGGCATATCTGTTTACCTGCAAAGTTATACTGAACTAAGCAGATACAGCAAACTTAATGTTTTTTGTTTTGCTTTTTTCTTCTTTTAATTGATATTGATATTTCACTGATTAGGTATAAGACTGAGGTTGGAGCATGACGCTGTAGTCTTAGAGCTGATGTAACTTTCTACTGTGAATCTTAGTAGACCCTACAACTGACTGGAGTCTTTTCTAGCAGTTAATGGTTTATGTGGTGCGTTATGCTATGTATTGTGTCCTGGTGTTTTACATGTGGTGTCAGCCCTAGAAGTGAATGTTATGAGTGTCTTTTTTACCTTCCTATTTGGCAGTTTTTGTTTGGGTCAGTTACTTTTCAGAGGCAAACACATTTGTCCCTCAAGTACATCCTCCTTCGAGGAAGTTGTTCACTGTGAGCCCTTACAGATGTCTAAGAAGGTCTTTTGGTTGATCTAAACTTCCGACTTTTTCCTCAGGCGAAAGGCTCGTCAGGCTAAAGCTCGCCGCATTGCTCCTCGCCCTGTCGCTGGACCACTGAGGCCACAGGTTAGGTGTCCCACTATCAGGTACCATACCAAGATTCGTTCTGGACGTGGCTTCACCCTCGAGGAACTGAAGGTACGATTATAGTTCTCTGTAAATGTTTCATTAGAAGGTAAAGCATATCTTTAATTTCTTTAGACCTAAAACTGTTAAAGTTACATGAAACATTCAGTGCGGCATTAATTAAAATGCACACTTGCACACAAGTGCTGCAGGCAAACTGATGTTTGGCAACTGTTTTGTCTGGTGGAAGTTTATTTCTATATCAAAATGAAGTGCTAGAGACTAAAAACTTCAGAAGTGATATTTAGAGTTATTGTGGATGGAAACTTGAACAAACTATCAAGTCAAAGAACTGTGGCTGTAGAAGACCTTAATGATCTTGTCAACCTTTACCTTGGCAAAAATATCAGGTTCTCCCTGTATGAAGAAAGTAAATAA